TGGCATTTGGAACTTTGTGCAATTTAACTAGTTCTGCAAAACAAAGCACACTTCGATTTAACCCCATCTCTTCCTTCCTTACTGCTGCCTAGTGAACATTATCACACAGCAGTCACACCCTGTGTATCTCCAGGAGTGCCACATGGCACAACTGTCCACCCAGACTAGACCTGAATCCCCAGTCCCATCAATATCTAGTTTACAGGAAATACGGGGAACAGGTTTAAGAGTGAAAGCAAATTAGGAGTAAGAAAATCTCTGTGTTGCAAAAAATGTAAGAACGTCCTCCACTCTTAGAGCATTTCCCCTTAGCAAACTTTTTTCCTCATCTTTCAATTTTATTAGGTAGAATTGTTACAATTTGACTGTACATATACAAAATGTTGCTTGTAAATACATATATACAAATACTGCACGTTTTTAAAATTTACATATATATACTGTTCATTGTTTCTAAGACCAGTCTAAAGCTTTAGCTTTTTTTTTTAACATTTTTTAATTGATTTATAATCATTTTACAATGTTGTGTGAAGCTTTAGCTTCTTAAACTTGACAGTTATCAAGGAAATAAAGCCAACCACAAAATAAGAATCAACAGAATGCAGTAATCCAGTCATAGAGGACAGTCAAATGTGCTTACATATATTCAAGAAATCAACCATCTAAGTTATAAATAAGTTGTCCATTTGTGTGCTTTTAAAAATATTCCACATATAAGTGATACATGGCATTTTTCTTTCTCTTTCTGGCTTACTTCAGTTAGAATGACGATCTCCAGGTCCATCCATGTTCCCTTAGCAAACTTCTAATTGTAAATTCTTTCTTTGTCCTTTTGGGATGTATGTAAATTTTGAAAAAGCTAAATAAGTCTCTTGTCAGATTTATAATTGTATAAAAATGTGCTCCTGGGGTTTTAACTTATGGAGGTGACTGAGTGAGGACCGGCGAGACTAATGCCATTTGAAATTCCCCAGGGATATAAGCGGCCCAGCGTGCCAAGTAGGGACACGTGGCCTGTCCCATGAGAGGTCAGGAAGCAGGGAGGTCTCGTGCCTTCATAAGCATAGGGGCCCGAAGAACTAGCAGTGAGCACCCCGCTATAGAAGACGCACATTCTGGAGTCCCAGGCTAAGGGTTTGTAACCCAGGGCCGCGAGACGTGCGGGGAGGTGGGCTGGGACGCGGTCGGGCGGCCGGCGGTGCGCCCTCGTCGCCCCACGATCTGGACCCGTCCCGCTGACGGTCGCATCGGTTGTCGGGCGTCGCCTGACGTCCACTTTTAGGTCGTGCACTTTCCTCCGGAGCCCTTCACAAGGGGAGGAATTCGGCCGCGTTGTCTGAGCCAGAGTTCCGGGAGGCCGGCGGCGCGGGCTGGATCATCCCGGTCATGCAGAGCGGCGGCGCAGTGTGCTCTCGCGGGAAATTGGACCTGCAGGCTTATGGGGAGTTGCTGACGCAGAGCTCCGGGGCCCAGTTGAGGGGTCGCCCGGCCGGGTCGAGCAGCCTCCGCGGGGCCTCTCCGGCCAAGGAGAGTGACCGGGGCCCGGTGTCCGCGTCCGGAAGCCGGTCCACCGGAGGTGGGAACCGGCCGGGCCGTCCGGGGAGGGCGTGACGGGCTCGCGAGTGTCTCGCGTGGAGCCTGGTGGGTGGAGGCGCCTCCGCGGAATTTGTCCCGAGACCGGCTTTGCCCGCATGTGAGACCCGTGGAGGCGACCAGCTCCCGCAGGTCGCCAGGCAGAAGCATTCGGGGAGCGCAGCGCTGGGGGCCGGGCTGCAGGCCTAGGAGGCGCGGTAGAGCGGCCCCGGAGCCAGGTGTAGTCATTTGTTCTCCCCAGATTAGCTCTGCAGCACGGTCCCCAAGGCTTCCCCCCAAAAATCTCAGTTAAGTGAAAACTGCTTTTCTGCACGATCGCGAGATTTTGTTTTTCATTTTGGGGGGGGTAGTAATTACGTTTTTTTTTTTTAAACTGGAGGGAGAGGGGATTGAACCTTGTACGTGCTGAGCACTCACGCTACCACTTGAGTTTAACCTCCCCTTTTAAGTATATTTTTTTTTGAAGGTCCGGCGCCACCTCTTCGGAAAGATAACATGGGGGAAGGCCCTTCCTACCTGTCCCGCGAGAGACAGATGGGTGAGAAATTCTAGGATTCCTTTGGATAAAAGGCAAAGAGGTACAGCAGACGATCCCGCAAGTTCCCAGGCACATTCAGAATAAACTAACAAATTATGCCGTCAAGTGCTCTCACTAAAAAGACAGGTGGTCGAATTTATATAGAAAACTACTTGCTTGACAATAGGGTGAGGTTTCTTTCTGTCCTTAAATTCTCTTCAGTGGATCCTCTGTGAGGTGTGTCACGTTTTTTCTTTCTCTCCTGACTGTGGAGATTTTTCTGGGAAAAAGATTTTGTTTTCCCAACGATGGTCAGCATGTTCAGATCCCAGTGGCAAATCCTATCAGTTAGGGGACCCTAATAACTGATGTATTAGAAGAATTTTTGAAAAGGTCATAACATACTCAGAGGTTTTAAAGACTTACGGTCCATACTTGCTTACACGATACATTATGCGTCCTGATTGCAGTGAATATATTTTTTAATTGCACTAGCCAGTTTACAATGTCGCCTCAATTTCTGGTGTACAGTGTATTTGTCTTATGTACATATACAGTGTTTATCTACTCATCCATCTGTTGATGGACATTAAGGTTGCTTCCATGTCTTGGCTATGGTATACAGAGCTGCAATGAATATACTTTGCTAAACACATTTTTAAGGTTACTAATGTCCCCTGGATATGCCCGTGTCCTCTTCCTGGACCTTGGGAATTGTGAGAAAACTCAAGTCTCCTAATAAGGCAGAGGGAGATCTTACTAATATAGACGAAGGCGACTGGAAGACTAAGCAAGATGCTAAACTGCTGGCCTTCCAGGAACTAGTATAAGCCAAGAAACAGAAGGAATGTGGTGGGGTTGGGGTCTGTTTTGCAGAGTATGATGAAAGGTTATCTGTCAGGAAGACAGAGCCCACCTCACCTGTCTGACCTTTCTCTTCTCGACGTGTGAAACAGATCTAAGGCCCCTGCCAGAAGTCACGTCAGTAGCACGGCCCAAAGGCTTAGATAATCAGTGCCATACATTTCTTTGGATTGAAAAACTCAGGTCTGTGATGTTCCTTCACATCAGTAAAGTAGAACTACCCTTCCTAAAAATTCTTAGTTGTCTGCTTGTAAACTGCCTAAACTCCTTGGCTTTCCCTCTCTAATCGCATGGCCTAGGCACTCTTATCACAGGGTTCTTTATTGACCCTTATGAGGGCTCAAGTTTTTTCTGTTATCCCATAAATATCTGGATGTGAGACTGTTCTGTCTCCGAGCTTTGTATGCCTCTGGAAGTGAATTTAGCTCAGGTGATAGTTTGAGAGAGTATGTTAATAATGAAGACTACACGTTGTGACTATCCCATTTATTCCACCCAGCAACTGAAGAAAGTCAAGTTCCAACAGATTTATTGTCTTCTCAGTTACTAATAAAAAGGGGCAGGTGTAGCCTAGTGCAAGGGGTCCTGGGTTCCATCCTCAGTATCTTCATGTAAATAAACTTAATTACCTTCCCTCCCACCCACCCCCTCAAAAAAAACTGAGCTACCACATTCATTACCAGTAGGCAAATAAATACTATGAACATCTTACGAAACATAAACTAGTTACTGACAGGGCAAAAAGTGTCATTCACTTCAGCATACAAAACTGTATACTCATAATGTTCTCTACATTGTCACATTAGGCATGTCTGTGATAGTGGGAACAAAGTGTAAAACCTCACCTTCACTACGCTCTAAAAGGTGTTTTCCAGTGGAGTAGCTGGTGTTGGAAAAGTGTGGGTTGGTTCCTGAATGCTTTTACACACTCAGTGCCCTTTTGTGGTGAGGCCACAGCTACCAGAGGGATCGCTCCCAGCCCACTGGCATGTTGGCATGTGAAAGACTTCTTGGACGCGGGGACCATGGAGCCTTATGCACATCTCTCTTAAACACTTTACACTGAGGGGGCAGTTTCACACCTGCCCCACAAGGTTTTCAACCAGAGATAGTTCCCAGGTCCTCAGCTAGATGGAAACTGCCTTTGAAAATCTTATTTGTGGCACTTCATCCTGCTCAGAAGCTGTCTCCTCATCCTCTCTGCTTGCTGCCAGCAACCTGAAAACAGATACTGGTGAACTGCATGTACATTTTGGGAAAAGGAGGGAGCACCATCATAAACGTGTGTTAAGGACAAGGGAGCTGGGGGGCATTAAGAAGGCTGCTGTGCAGTACTGGGCCTCTAGATGCCACAGAACGGGGGGGGCTCACAAGGATGGGGAGGAGGCAGGGGTCGACAACTCACTCCTTACGGAAGGGTGTGTACACGCTCCTGGGAACCCTGAGGAGCTGGTGTTCAGCGACTATTTTAAGGACACGTGCAGGCCAGTGGTGGAGAGGACCAGTACAGCCACTGGCCTGGGCACCAAAACAGTGTTAGACACAGGACATGGTCCTGATAGGACCTGAACCCAGCCAGGATCTCACATCCTCAGAGCCCCTCTTGCTGTACCTGGAGTCTGTGTCCCCAGTGTTCTCCTCCCAGCTCTAACTGGACTAGAAGATGGAAGTAGTCCTAAGGGAAGAACAAGCGAGCAGTCAGTACTGATGAGGGGAGGGGAGACAAACATGGAGTTCTCACAAGCAGTGACCAAAGCGGACAGAACCTTGGAGCAAATGTGGCCTGGGGGTCTACAGAATCAACAATGAAACCCACTGGACTAATTGCAAACCTTACAGCAGCTGGTATTGGGGCTACTTGTGAAAGAAGGCAAGTGTGCACACAAGACAGGAAAAGAGTAACAGAGATGTGCCCATTATGTAGCTTGGAGACGAGCTCAGCAGCTGGGATAGGTGTGAGGGTAGAAACCAGTGCAGAGTTCTGCAGCATATTACAGAGTTCTCTAGCATAATATGGTACAGGAGTCTTGGAGCCTCCATTCCTCCTGGAAAAGTACCCAGGCACATCCTCAAAGGTCGGAGGGCCCTGTGATGATGGGGACAAATGTGTCCATGAGCAGCCTTTCTCCTGAGCTCCTCAACTTTGAAGGCAGTGGTATCTAGTCTCATCACTAGGCCCAACTCTCAGCAACGACACAGAGATGCCATCTAACCTCTAGGCTTGCTATAAAGGGCCCCCCTTTCCTGCAAGATAAGAGCCTGAGTCCCCAGATACAAACACACTTGGGATGATCTATCTCGCTTAAGCTCTTACTGCCAGGGCCTCCACAGGCATATTACTCACTGGACCTTATCTGTCTTTGTGAAGCCCTCCCCAGCACTCTAGCTCTACATGTTCACCCATCCACTTGTCTCCTATACTTGGGAGTCTTGAGACTCAACATGGCCAAAACCCAATTTCTAATACCCACCAGTCTCTTCTGCATGAAGGAGCCTATCTTCTGCATGAAGGAGCCTATTCAGATCTAAATCAACTCTGTTCGAAAAACGCCAATTCAGGCTACCATTCTAGGCCTGAATCTCACTTCCTTATTCTGTCCTTAACAGACCCTCCAAAGCCTAAAACACTCCCATCTCAACCTCATCTCCAAGCATTCCTGAATACTAACCCCTGTACCTGAGACACCTTTCACATCTCAGTCTGTAGTGGAAGTAAAAGTTCCAGGACACCTGATACTCACCAGTGCAGGGGTCATGAGGGGTTCTTCAGAATGTGGAAACAGCAGGAAGAGCAGGATCATGTCACTTTAATTCTGAGTGATCCATTTAATATTTCAGGTGGTGCTAAAGGCTCTAGAGTAAACCAACCACATGAAAGAGAACAGACAAATGTTACGAAATTGTGCAATAAAGTCAAGTGGGTATCAGGAAAAACAAGTGCAAATCCTGTCAGGCTTGTCTGTGAGTACTGCTGAATAAGGGATCATGCCCAGCAGTGGGACTCTTGGATTATAAGGTAAGTCTACTTTTAGTCTATTGAGGAATCTCCACAGTTTTCCATAATGGCTGCACCAGACTATGGTTGTGGAAGGTCATGTGCAAGAAATCAAATTTGAGTCTTATTTCTGTACTGGCCTGTTGCAGACACTTACATTTCATTCTCTTATTCTACTTTCCTGTGTCCCTTTCTGAGAATACATTCTTTTCCCATATATTAAACGTGGCTTTAACACGTGGCCAGTACTACTTATGCTTCCTTTTCAAATTTTCCTTTGGTTATATTAAAAATTTTTGTCTTACAAAAACACAACCGATGAAAAGGGAGCAAATACTTGCAACAGAAAAGACTGACAAAGCCTGAAGAGCTAAAACAATCAAATCCAAAAATGGGCAGAAGACATATGAATGGCCATTAGGCACAAGAAAAAATGCTCAATATGGCTAATTATCAGTGAAATGTAAATCAAAACTACTCTGAAGTAATACTTCATTCTACTAAGAATGGCCACAATTCAAAAATGGAGAAGGAACACACATACACTGCTGATAGTAATGTAATTAACTGCAGCCACTATGGAAAACACTATGCAGATTCCATACAAAACTACAAATACACTTGCAATATAAGCCAGCAATCCCACTCCTGGGCATCTATCCAGAGGGAACCTTAATTGAAAAAGATACATGCACCCCAGTGATCATACCAGCAATATTTATAAGACAAACAGAAACGACCAAAATGTCCATCAACACATAACTAGATGAACAAGTTGTGATATACCTATAAAATGGAATACTGCTCAGCCACAAAAATAATACTCATTCTAAAAGGAAAATGCCATACAATATGAATTATATGCGGAAACTAAAAACACAGAACACAAATTAACTTATTTATATAACGGAAATAGACACAGGAACACAAACTTATGGAGAACGGGGTGGGAAGGGATAAGTTCGGAGGTCCACATTTGCAGAAAATAAATATTTGATCTACATTTAGATAAGATTTATTTACTTACAACAGATATTGCGTATTGAGCTCAGGACCTCATGCATGCTAAACATGCACTCTACCACTGAGCTATATTGTCCCTGTTTAGATATTAATATATACAAAATAAATGAAGAACAAGTTAATGCTGTAATTACAGATTAATATTTCATATCTTCTAGTAACCTACAATGAAAACGCATATGAAAATTAATATACATACGTTGATTTTATAATTGAAACACTATAACAAACATGTCTCTGTGACTGGAACATAATGAATATATATATGTGAATACTGTGCTGTGCACGAAAAGTTGACATACTGGAACTCACTAAACTTCGTCCACAAATACACTTACCATATAATGCAACACTCCACTCTCCCCGGGCATATATCCGGAGGGAACCTTAATTCAAAAAGATACATGCACCCCAATGTCCACAGCAGCACTATTTACAACAGCCAAGACATGGAAACAACCTAAATGTCCACCCACAGATGACTGGATAAAGAAGCTGTGGTGTATTTATACAATGGAATACTACAAAAAGAATAAAATAGTGCCATTTGCAGCAACGTGGACAGACCTGCAGACTGTCATTCCAAGCAAGCCAGAAAGAAACAAAAATACCATATGTTATCACTCATAAGTGAAATCTAAAAAAAGAAAAGAAAAAAAAAGATGAACTTATTTATGACACAGAGTAACAAACTTACGGTTACGGGTGGGTGGGGTGGAAAAATGGAAATCTGCAGATACTGATATAGGTAAAAAATAAACAAGAAGTTCAAACTGTATGGCACAGGGAACTATATTCAGTATCTTGTAGTAGCCTATGGTGAAAAAGAATATGGAAGTGAATACATGTACGTTCACGTATGACTGAAGCATTCTGCCGTACACCAGAAATTTAACCCAACGTTGTAAACTGACCGTACTTCAATCTTTTTAAAAAAGTTACTGTTTTATACGCTATTCCAGCTTACACAACCCATCCATTAAATTCTAACTTGAAATGGTTGTAACATTATATAAGAGAATTCAAGAACGTGTACTTTTTATACTGATCCAAAATTTTGATATTAAAATATTTCCATAAGCATTTAGAGAGATTGCTTCTAGTTTCCTACAGGCTATTCCCTCCTGGGTAGAGAACTGAACCACCGTTTACCGACCACACACTGAAAATGAATCTCTGATAAAAGGGTTGTTGCTAGCGTCACAGCAAAAGTGCTCGGCCTTCAGCAGTTTGGGATAACTGGACCTCATTTCTGACTGCCTCAACTTAACAGAAACGAAACAAGCTATACGACCCGACCTCTACTCAACCATACCTAAACATGACAATAACCTTCTTGCGTTCTAGACATCCTGTTAGGATTCTGAAGCATTGTGACTTTTCATCCTTACAATGATTCGTTTCTACCCTTTAAAACAAGTATTTACTAAAACAGTTTAATTATCTTCTCTTCCAAAATCACCAGAGAAAGACGACTGATCAGTCAAATAAAAATTTCTGGAAGAGTACAACCTCTTAGAAAAAATTCCTTTAAACACAATTACGTAAAAATTATTTTAAGTAAGTAAATACAATGGGCATTTTAACATGCTCCACGAGTATGTGCTTCGTATACAACCCAGGGAACACGGTAGGTATGACCACAGTAGCAATGTTTATATCTGCAGAACACACAGACAGACAGAAAGAAAAGCCACGAACCCATAAACAAAGAAAAGCTCTCAACAGGAGAGAGTTTATAAAGACATTTTACTCATATGTTCATACTAGGGACTACCGCACAAAAAGGAAAATGGACAGTCATGAAATATGCGGATGAAAGTCACACAAAAGCGTGCAAATGAAGAAGACATCATACAGTAATAGCGACTGCATTCATGGAAATGGTTTAAAACAAGTGAGCAAAACTGAACGACACTCGTCGGACTGGGTTTTCCACATGGATGGCAAAACCATGAAGAAAAGCAAGGAAATTCTTACTTGTAACAACAGACAATCCGTTAACTCTGGCGATGGGTCTAACTTTTTTGGAAAGACCGCACAGGCGGCTTCTGGGGGTCCTATTTCTATCACATTTCTTGACCCGGGCGGTGATACAGACTAATTGTTCAACTGCACCTGGAAACTCTGCGCTTTTTTTTTTTCTTTCTCTGTCTGTTTGTTTCAGGCACGTCATATCTCAAAACTTAGAAAAACAAGGTTTCGGGGGGATAATGATATAAAGACAAATAAAGGACCCTCGTAAGGGCACACTGGTAAGAACACAACTACTGCAGAAGGAGAGTCGGCTGACGGCCGGGAGGGGACGCGGCGTTTCCCTGAATCGGACTCACCTGTGCGGCAGCCGCCACCGGCGTCTGTGGGCGAAGGTGGGGTCCGGCCCCGCGACAGCTGACGGCCGGCTGACGGCCACGCCGAGCCTCAGACCCGCCTCAGAGCAGCGGGCGCGGCGGCGCCTCCGCCGCTCCCTTGCCGCACGCGGCCCGGCGTCTTCCCGAAGCCCCCGACCGGCGGACAGCTCCGAGTTTCCACAGCTGCTCGTCCCGAGAAGGCCCGCCCACCGTCCACGCCGGAAGGCCCGCCCAGACGCCCTCCCCTCGCACGGAAGTGCCTCTCTCCTGAGCCGTCACGGGCCCCGCGCGCCGCACAGCCTTCCGCGTAATGTGGTTCACGGCGCTCCCGGCCCCTCCTCCCGGAATGGGCCGGCCGCACCGGGACCATGGGAAGAGTGTTCCCAGGCTCAGGGGAATCGGTGTGGCTTCGCGCTTTCTCCAGGGGACGGACCCAGACTCCCGTGGGAAGTCGTCTGCGCTCATCTCCTCACAGAGACGGACAGAGACGGAGTACTTCCCATCTTCCCGAAACCAGCAAGACCGTAAATGGACACGCGGTATCACACTGTCGCTCAGACACAAAGTGCATCCAACCACAGCTAGCGTCGAACAGACCTTGTCTCGTTGCTCTTCAAACACTCGTAGGCTGCAGCTTTAGACTCAATCTATGGGTTTCACCGTGTTAGGGTCAAAAGAGCAAAGACTACAGACAGGACCGCGGCGGGCAAGACAGAGGAGGGACGTGGGGCGGCCAGAAGCAGGCGGATCATGCGCTGTGTCTCCGGTTCCCTCAGAAAAAATGGAGAGCAAGTGACTGTCCCGTTCAGGGACCGACATGTATTTCTTACTCCGCGTTTCTTTTTCACTGAAGTACAGTCAGTTTCAATGTCAGTTTCTGGTGTACAGCACAATGGCCCAGTCGTGCATATGCACGCATATATTCGTTTTCATACGCTTTTTCATCAAAGGTTTTTATGAAATACTGAATATACTTCCCTGTGCTATACAGAAAAAAAATCGGCTTCTTTTAAAATCTATTCTTATATACGGTGGCTAACATTTGCAGCTCTCAAACACCCAATAATGACATCTAGAGGAAGATGGATGGACCTAGAGATCGTCATTATAAGTGGAATAAGCCGGAAAGTGGAACTGCTGGATCGTGTGGTAGTTGCTTTTTTTTTTTTAACCTGAGGCTTTCCCTTTTTTTGGTATATAAATACATGTATCTCTTTTCGTATTCTTTTTCACTTACGGTTATTACAAGATATTGACTATAACTCCCTGTGCTATACAGAAAACCTCTTTTTTAAAATCTGTTTTTGTAGAGGCTAACATTTGCAAACCTCAGACTCCCAAATTCATCCTTCCCATCCCCTTTCACCTGATAACCATACGATAGGGTTACTGTTTCTGTTTTGCAGATGAGTTCATGAGTGTCCGCTTTCTTAAATCTTTTCTTAAATTTCAATTACGAGTGATAGCACATGGCATTTTTTTTTTCTCTCTCTTTCTGACGATCTCTAGGTCCATCCATGTTGTTACAAATGGCATTATTTTATTTTTTTATGGCTGAGTTTTACTCCACATTTTGAAAGGGATTCAGTTTTGCTGCTGTTTTAAGGGGGAGCGGGAGGGATGTCATAAGGCTTACTTTGTTTTTAACAGAGGTACTGGGAATTGAACCCACGACCTCGTGCATGCTAATCACGCACTCTAACACTGAACTACATCCTCCCCCTTGCTTTTCTCTACAAACTAAGATGTGCCTACCTGAAGAGAAGAATGACTTACCGCTTGCCATTTTCTGCCTGGACAGTGACTCTCTGGTCACAGTTACAGCTCATATCTGTATGAGCTATACACACAGTCAGAAGCTTGTATAAGCTTTCTATATTATAAAGGGAGCGTGTGAACCTTGAGATAAAAGATTGGATTACATGATCTCCTTTCCTTGCTGGGGAGTCAATATAATTCCACCTGAGTGACAACGCATGGACAGTGGAGATTATCTGAGAGAAGTGTCTGTGAAACGGTGACATTACTGAAATCAATCATTATTCAGTTATTCAAAGTTTGTGGCCAAAATAGCTCTTGGCCATGGGGACAAGAGGTTAGGATCTCAGTGAACTCTGAAGGGACACTGACATCTGAGATCCGAGGGAATGAAGCTGGCCTTGTACTAACACAGGGCACTTGGCTAGTCTGTGATGATGGCTTTCTAAATCGTGATTTATTTATTTCTTAAATCATTGTCTTTTAGTACAACTTGAAAGGAGATGTAAGAGAGCAGCTAGCTCTGCCAGAACGCCAAAAACAAACAGGGTTTCTATGGAATCATGTTTATTCCCTCCTTAGCAAACACTCACTAAGTGCCTTCCCTATTCCAAGCACTGTTTTGGCTGCATGGGACGTGTCAAGATCCAAAGCGTCCAAAACCCCTTCCCACATGAGGCTGTCATTCTACTCAGAGGATATGGACAGTAAGAGTCAATGACAACATAGTCAATTACACAGTGCTTTTACGTGTCAGGAGTGTTAACCGAAATTTCAGAAACGAAGACCCGATTGAAACAAAGAGGCCCCCCCCCTTTTTTTTCAGCCTTTCCTAGGGCTCCAGCCGAGGAGACACAGATTCAAGAAGCAATCGTATATCAACAAAGGAAAGTACAAACACAACATGACCATCTCAACAGATGCAGAAAAAGCGTTTCATAAAATTCAACATGCATTCACGACAAAAAATAAATAAACAAATAAAAACCCTTACCAGAGGCGATATAGAGGGGAACCTATCTCAACATAACAGAAGCTATTTATGACAAATCCATAGCCAACATACTACTCAATGGTGAAAAGCAGAAAGTCTTCCCACTAAAATCTGAAACAACACAAGGATGCCCACTCTTACCCCTTCTATTTAGCACAGTATTGCAAGATGTAGCCATAGCAAGCAGACAAGAAACAAAAGGGATTCGAATTGGAAGGTAAGAGGAAAAACTGTCACAATATGCAGAATACTGTATACAGAAAATCCTAAGGATTCCACACAAAAACTTCTAGAGCTGATTAGTCAACTCAGCAAGCTAACAGGGTACGAGATAAAGACCAGAAATCTGTTCCATTTCTTTACCCTAACAATCAAATATCAGAAAAGGGAAGTAAATTTTTAAAAAAAACATCCCCTTTAAAATCGCATCAAAAAATACTCAGGAACAAATTTAACCCAGGAGGTGAAGGACTTACACGCTGAGAAGTCTAAAACATTGATAAAGGAAATTGCAGATGATTTAAAGAAATGGCAAGGTGCAGCATGCTCTTGGACTGGCAGGATTAATGTTGTTGAAACAGCCATGCTACCCAAAGTAGTCTACAGAATTCATGTGACCCCTGTCAGGTTACCCAGGACATTTTTCACAGAACTAAAACAAAATCCTAAAACTTACATGGAATCACAAAAGACCCAGAACTGCCAAAGCAATACTGAAGAAAACGAACGAAGCTGGAGACGTAACCCTCCCAGACGTCAGACGATACCGCAAAGCTACAGGAATCCAAAACAGCATGGTACTGGCACAAAAACAGACATACGGATCAGTGCAACACAACAGAGAGCCCAGAAATAGGCTCTCTGACTCACCTACGGTCAATTAATCTTTTGACCAAGGAGACAAGAATACACAACGGAGAGAAGACAGCCTCTTCAGCAAGTGGTGCTGGCAAAGCCGGACAGCCACGGGTAAATCGATGAAGTTAGAACACTCCTTCATGGTACGCACAAAAATAAACTCAAAATGGCTTAAAGACTTAAACATAAGACAGGACACCATAAATCTCCTAAAAGAGGACACAGGCAAAACGTTCTCTGATAGAAATCGTAGCACTGTTCTCCTAGGTCAGCCTACTGAGGCAACAGAATTAAAAGCAAGAGTAAACAGATGCAACCTAATTAAACTCATGACCTTTGGCACGGCGATGGAAATCATACACAAGGCGAAAAGACAATCTACGGACTGGGAGAAAATACTTGCAAAAGAATGCAACTGACAGGGCTTAATTTCCACAATACACAAATAGCTCATACAACTCATCAGGAAAACAACCCAATCCAAAGGTGGGCAGAAGACCTACACACACACTTCTCCAAGAATGACACACAGATGGCCAACAGGCACATGAAAACATGCTCAATATCACTATTCATCAGAGAAATGCAAATCAAAACTACCATGAGGCATCACCTCACACCAGTCAGAGTGGCCATCATTTAAGAGTCCTCAAATGATAAATGCCGGAGAGGGTGTGGGGAAAAGGGAACCCTCCTACGCTGTGGGTGGGAACATAGTCTGGTGCAGCCATTATGGAAAACAGGAGGGAGATTCCTCAAAAGACTAAAGATAGACTTACCATAGAATCCAGGAATCCCACTCCAGGCATATATCCGGAGGGAACCTTAATTCAAAAAGATACATGCACCCAATGTCCACAGCAGCACTATTTACAACAGCCAAGACATGGAAACAACCTAAATGTCCATCCACAGATGACTGGATAAAGAAGCTGTGGTATATTTATACCATGAAATACCACTCACCCATTAAAAATAAAATAACGCCATTTGCAGTAACATGAACGGACGAGATTATCATACTTAGTGAAGTGAGAGAAAGACAAATATATTTTATCACTTATCTGTGTAATTGTAACAAAAGATACAAATTAACTTATTTACAAATGGAAACCGAGTCACAGACATAAAAAATATACTTATGTTTACCAAAGGTGAACGTGGGCAGGGGGAGGTAAATTCGGATTTTGAGATTGACAGGTATCAACTATCATATACAAACTAGATAAACAACAAGGTCCTACTTTATAATACAAGGAACTATATATTCAATAGCTCTTAATAAATTGCAATTTAAAAAAATATATTTATATATTTTAACTGAATCAGTATACCAGCAACTAATACAACAGTGTAAATTAACTGTACTATACTTATGTGAAGTGTTAATTAACTATATGTTTCAACAAACTTAATTTCAGCTTCCTGGTTCCAATTAAGCAAGGGTTGGTTAGGGTTTCATGATTGGGGCCTATGTGCTTGTGAGCAGCCTGTAGTCAACATCCTCCACCTGGGTGGGCGTCTTAGTTTCTCCAAAGGAACTCAAGGATATGCGTCAGATTATTACGTATAGCCCTTCAGGACCAGAGGCCCTGGGATTGTTTTCTCAACTATTTTTTAAGCTAGCATTACTTTTCTCACTTGACGATTTTTCCTATGTTTCTGCACTCTCTCACTTCTCTGTAGTAACTGCTTGCCACAGCTCTTTGGAACTCAGGAAACTAAAGCTTTTTTCTAGAAACAAAAATTGGGGAACATGGTGGGGCTTTTGTACCTGAGACGGCTCTACAGGGTCCTGTTTATTTCAGGAACCAGTGCACCACAGAGTCCCCAGTCAGGCTTCTCAGTCGCTTCGGTGCACCAGTCTCTCGTCCCGCTTTTCAATTCGGTCACGTCAGAAGGGACCCAGCACTCCAGAGGCCCAAAGAAGTGAAAACGAGCTGAGCGACTGCACCAGCGCCACGGGGAAATGCGTATTTTCCGCTCACGTGGTGCGCCGGGCACGTAGACGTCCCTCTGCTCTCATTGGCTACGTCTCTGCTGCTGGTGATCGCAGTGGCTGCTGGGTAATGTAGTTCCCACATGAATTAGGCCGTTCTCCAAAATGCGATTTTTTCACTAGGAACGCGCTGGCAATTAACCGCTTGACAGGACAGGTGAATACAATCTGTAGACTTGCTGGAAAGGTGAAAGCGAGTAAGAAAGCTGTTCTGTGGTGCGCATTCAGTGTCCTAACAAACATACCACGAGCACCTGCCGGGATTCCACCACAATAGTAGGTGCATGGACATGTTGGGAACAGCACTGCCAGCTGTTCTGTGCATAGAGCACATGCCCTGTATTTAATGATTTTGTTCTGGATACTGCCTCTGCCAGTACACCCTAAACATCTTATTATATTCAGCTCTTTGCAATGCCTTCCAAAAAGCTGGCAGTTAGATTTGGAGTATGCCTTATGAGTTCTCTCTCAGGTTTGGGTGATTGAAGAACAAAAAGAGATACTGAGAATTAAAGGAATTATTTTACATATTCAGGAAAGGGAAATGATTACTCACTGGCCACAGTCCAAAATCGTGAACAAATAATCATCGTTTGTAAGAGTAACTTCCAATGAGTACATGTGTTCTGAGGCTCGCCAGGTCAATGACAGCCTCAACAGTGAAACTTAAGCCTCTGAAAGTAAGCAGTTAGCAAATCATTGATAAGTACAAGCTTTCAAAATTCAACCAATAAGTGATGGATTATGGCTCCTCATCCCACATTCTGAAAGACCACCAATCAGCCTTAGGATCCCAGGCAACAATCAATCAACTGCCTCACTTAAGGACCTAGCTTCTGAAAGTCAACCGGCCAATAGTAGTGACCACACTAACACGGCTCAAAGTCCAGAAATCCTTCAGCACAGACTTCTGAATGTCCTCCAGTTCCTGAATGACTGACTCCCCAAAAGATCACATAAGTGCAGCTCCAGCTGCTTTCTAGGAGGCTGTCTGCCAACCGCAGCTCTCCCTTGCATGCATGCAGTCCACCTTTTTTACCTCAAATATTAAGTTCAGTTGACTGTTGGCCAAGAAGTTTGCTACCTTTTCAACCTTCAACATCTGTTTATGGCTACTTATGAATTTAGAGTTAATGGCTATGTAGAGGTGGCAAATTGGGTGGAGCTGCAAGCAATAGAAAAGGGCACAGGGAAACTTACTGGGGCCACAGATACATTCATCATCACAACAATGTGATGGTTTCAATGCCCATACATATATCGAAATATATCATGTTGGGCACTTTAAATAAGTGAAGTTTAATTTATGTCAGTTCCTCAATGAAGCGGTTGGGGGAAACTTTCTCCTATTAAGTGTTAAACCCTATTCCTCTTAGAATTTCAGACAACTGACAAAGCTGTACTGACTTCATCATGAATCTCTCCCCATGTCTTAGGCAACTCAACTCTGATTCTTTTGCTGCAAAACTGGGGAATGATGAAAGTATGCCCAATTGTGTCACCAAAAATAATGGCTAGCACACAAAAGATCCATCCCTGAAGTACAGAATCTCCCCTTGCTCCGTGTGAGGCCTCTGCCTTGCAGTTACGGTTTGAGGGAAACAACCCAGAGAGGCAACAGGAAGCCATAAAATCTTTGGCTTCGCTGCTGTGGCAGTACATTGGCTAGAGGAGGCACAGAGGCCTGTAAGTCCTAGGGAGTTCTGTACACCCTCTTCCCAGTTACAGGGACGTTTACAGATGTCCCATTGGAAGTGCTTATCCACTCTACTTTGCTGCACCCTTCCCCCAGTTCCTATCAACACAATCACTACTTCTGTACAGAGTATGATTCTCACGCTGAGCCTTAAGCCTTACGTCCATTTACCTGCGTGATTTTTTTTCTTTAGGACACACAGCTCCTCGGTAGGTCTCAGGAGACAGCTATCTCTCAGCAATGCTATGGGACATCCGCTACATTCAGGGGCCCCAACTCATGACACCACCGAATATCCTGTTGTTTGCAAACCAACTGCCCCATATTCAAGTGACTCTGCAACCACAAATAATCCTCATGTCCAGGGTATGAGATCTTGGTGCAGACGTCGTTCAGCCTTTCCTAGGAGGCCTCAGGCAGCAATGCAGCTAGGCCAGATCTGCACTGAGAGTGATGCTTTGTTCCCCTATTTTTTTCAGAGCACACAAAGGTGAGGACCCCGAAACTCTACCGTTTATTCTGGCAGAGCCTAATTCTCTCCTTAACTCACAGCACACAGTAAACAGGATCCTAAGAGTAAAGGTAGGTTAAACAATAAGAGCTTTACCACAAAAATCAGCACAGTGGAGCCATAAGTTCCTGGGTTGGGTAAAACGGAGGCTGGAAAAATCTGTCCAGAATGTCATGAGACAATCAGTAAAGACCTTGAACAAGGGAAGCCTCTGTAAGCTGCCACCGAAGCCATATGGGGTCCTCTGTCCAAGGTGGGTGATGTTCACATCCAAAACAATCAAGGGGGTGGGCCATGAGGGCTCACCAAAGGGCTCACAAGGCCGGGGGAGACTCTACACAAAGAGAGACAGCACAGCAATCTGCTCTCCCCACTTAAGAAAAACTGAGATGTGTAATTAAAATATAACATTTACTAGCTTCAGATGTACAACATAATGATTGTATTTGTATATACTGCAAAGTAATGACCAAAGTAAGTCTACTTAGCACAGGTACAAAATTTTCTTGTTGAGAACTTTCCTGACTTACTCTTCGCAACTTTCAAATATGCAATACAGTATTATTAACTATAGTCACCACACTGTACACTACATCTCCATGACTTATTTTATAACCAGAAGTCTGTACCTTTTGACCATCTTCACCTATTTTGTAGCGGTGACTTCCAATGCTTTAGAAAAAAAATTTTTAGTTGAAGTATAACTGACAATGTTATATTAGCTTCATGTGTACACTACTAATTTGACATTTGACTAGTGATGAGATGATACTACAGTAGCCTAGTTACCGCCTGTCACATTTTAAGTTATTACATTACTGACTATAGTCCCTATTCTCCATATTACATCCCAATGACATTCCTGCCCCCAGTGGCTTATTTTACAATTGGAAGTTTGTGCTTCTTAATCCACTTAATCTATTCAAACATTCCCCCACCCCTCTCCTCTCTGGCAACCGCTGGTTTGTTCTTGGTATCTATGCATCTGCTTCTGGATTGTTTTGTTCATTCAACTGTTTTGCTTTTTAGATTCCACATTTAAGTGAAATCGCTGACTTATTTCACTTAGCATATTACCCTCTAGGTCTACCCATATTGTCACAAATAGCAAGATTTCTGTTTTAATGGCTGAGTAATATTCCATTATATACACGTATATATTACATCTTCTTTACCATTCATGTATCAATGGACACTTCAGTTGCTTCCATATCTTGGCAGCTGTAAATAATGTTACAATGAACATAGGGATGTATATTTCTTTTCAATTTAGTGTTTTTGTTTTCTTTAGGTAAATACCCAGGATTGGAATCACTGGGTTGAATGTAGCTATATTTTTAATTTCTTAAGGAACTCTCACACTTTGGCATAGTGGCTGGACCAACTTAACATTCCTACCAATAGCAAATGAGGGTGCCTTTTTCTCCACATCCTCACCAACACTTGTTATTTGCTGTCTTCTTGACAGTAACCATTGTGACAGGCGTAGGGGTGACTGCTCATTGTGATTTTGATTTGTATCTGCCTGATCAGTGAAGTACAGCATCTTTTCATGTGCTTGTTGGCCAGCTGCATGTCTTCTCTGAGAAAATGCATGTTCAGGTCCTCTGCCCATTTTTTAATCCAATTTTTTTTTGACATTAAGTTGTATAAATTCTCCATATATTCTGGTTATTAGCCCTTTACTGGCTTTGTGATTTGCAAATATCTTCTCTTACTCAGGAGGTTGTCTTTTCATTTTGCTGCTGGTTCCCTTCACAGTGTCTGAGTATTTTAGAGACTGAGGTGGTTCACACTGCAGCTCCCTGCCAGGTGACAGACGGAACTCCAGTCACGGCCCCAAGCGGGTCTGAAAGTGCAACACAGTTCACCAAAGCTTCCCACATACCTGGCACTTACTGCGAATCTCCCTAGTGAGGATGTTTGGACATATGAGATGTAATTTCTGGCAGATACCTCCTTCACAGAGGTAACCTCCAGAGATTTCCTCTGTTATGTTAAAAGCAAAGCACACAGTGGCCCACATGTAACGTCTTTCTCCAGTGTCAACTTCCTGCTGCTGATACCTTGGTGCATGGCAGCTCTTAGAAGAAAACTGAGGAAAAAAGCATCCTGACACTGGGTGGCTTTGGCGATAATTTCTTGGACATGACACCAAAGGCAGAGGCAACAAGAACAGGAATAAATGGGACTAAACTGGAATCTAAAACGTCTGTGCGAAAAAGGACTAAATGGACAGAATGAAAAGGGAACCCTTGGAGTAGAAGAAAATATTTGTAAACTATCTGGTAACAGGTTATTACCCAGAGTATATAAAGAATTCCTATATCCAAGTAACAGTAATAATAACAACCCCATTTAAAAATGGGCAAAGGATTGGAAGAGACATTTTCCCAGAGAATATACACAGCCAACAAGCAGATGAAAAAATGTTCAATATCATTAAATGCAAAACAAAACCACAATGAAATATCCCCTCATGCCCCTTAGGCTAGTGTTATAAAAAATAAAACAAGAAAACAAGTGTTGGGGGAGGGTACAGCTCATATGGTAGCATGCATGCCTAGCATATACAAGGTCTTGGGTTCAATCCCCAGTACCTCCTCTAAAAATAAATAAATAAGCCTAATTACCTCAAAAAAATACTAAAAAGGAAAGAAAGAAAAGAAAAGAAAAGAAGAAATGTCGGCAAGGGTGTAGAGAAATTAGAACCTCCAAGCTGTACCTGTAAAATGGTACAGCTACTATGGAAAACAGCCCCTCAGTTCCTCAAAAAAAATTAAATATTCAATTACCATATGATCTGACAATTCCGAGTATATACCTAAACAGAACTGAAAACAGGGCCTCAAAGAAATATGTGTGCAATCATGCTTATAAAAGCATTATTTGCAACAGCCAAATTGCGAAAGCAACCCAACAGTCCACTGATAAATGGATACAGAAAAAGTGGCCTAGACACAGAATGGAGTAGTAGGCAAAAAGGAAGGCAATCCTGACACCTGCCGGAACATAGATGAACCTTGAGGACATTATGCTCAGTGAAAAAGCCAGCCAACAAAGGAGAAAAACATTGTGACTTTTATATAAGGTACCAGAGTGGCCAAATGCACAGGCAGAAAGCAGAGCGTGGCTGTCAGGGGATAAGGGGGGGAGGGGGGGGAGGCGCTCTTGTCTAATGGGCTTAGTTTCTGTTGTGTAAGATGAAAAGACTTCTGAATATTTGCACAAGGTGTGAATGTATTATTACTACTGAGCTTACACTTAAATGTGGTTAAGATCATAAATTTGGTTACACGTAGTTTTCCACCATTAAAGGTTTTTAAAAACCCTGCAGAGCAACACCTCACAGTGCTAAGTCAGACCAGAGGTTTCTCTGAAGTCTTTCCCTGTTTGCAATACACTTTACTGTGAACTTCTCGATGCCGAGTGAGGTGGGAGTTCTGGCTAAAGCCTCTCCCACAGCTGAGGCACTCATAAGGCCTTTCCCCAGTGTGAATTCTCCGATGTTTAATGAGGCTGGAGTTGTATCTAAAGACTTTCCCACATTCACTGCATTCATAGGGCTTTTCCCCGGTGTGAACCCTCTGATGAATAACGAGTGTGGAGTTGTCCATAAAGGATTTCCCACACTCACGACACTCGTATGTTTTTTCTCTGGTGTGAATATTCTGGTGCCGGATGAGGTGGGAGTTTTGGCTGAAGAGTCTACCACACACGCTGCACTCATACGGCCTCTCTCCGGTGTGGTTTCTCCGATGCCTAATATGATTTGAGTTGTGCCTAAAGAGTTTCCCACATTCACTGCACTCATAAGGCCTTTCTCCCGTATGAGCTTTCTCATGTCTCTCAAGTGTGAAGCTGTACCTGAAAAACTGCCCGCATTTGCTGCATTCAAAACGCCTTCCTCGAGTGTGAACCTTCTGATGGATAATGAGCGTGGCGCTGTCGACAAAAAGTTTCCCGCACACGCTGCACTGAAATGGCCTTTCTCTAATGTGAGCTCTTTGATGTCTCTTGAGAGTGAAGCTGTACCTAAAGCATTTCCTGCATTCATTGCATTCATACGGCTTCTCTCCAGTGTGAACTCTCTGATGAACCACGAGTGTGGAGCTGTCTTTAACGCACCTCCCGCACTGGCTGCACTCATGAGGCCTGGGCCGAGGGTGCACGCGCTGGTGTTCAGGGAGGCCAGACCTTGGTGCGAAGAATCCTCTGTGTCCAAGGTGCTCATAAACCCTTGTCTCAGTGTGAATTTTCTGGTGCTGGACCAGGTGGAACTTTGTGAGGAAGGGCTCGCTTTCGCTGCAATCAGAACGCTCTTCTCCAGCGTGGCCTTCCTGCTGCTCAACAACTCTGTGTTCATGGCCGAAGGCGCTCCCGCAGTCACAGCACCTGTAATCTTCCTGTCCACTTTCAAAGGTCTCCCTGCCCTCTGTGACCCTGTGTGGCTCCCCTCCACTGTGTGGGGCCTGGGGCTGGAGAAGGCCTAACCTGGCCGGGAAGTCCTTCCCTCCCTCCCTGCACGTCGGGGTCCTCCCGGCCAGGTGATCGCTGCACTTCTTCATGAACGAGGGCCTCCCCTTGTCCCTTTCGGATAGTTTCTCTCCACTCTGCTCCTTTCGGGGCTGGGAAAGACTTACCCCACACATGGGCACCTCCCATTCAGGGTGTGTTCCGCTGGGCTCAGCCAGGCACAAAATGTCTTTCAGGAGCGGACCATGCATCTCACAAGGAGACTTCTGGGTGGGTGGAGCCAGCTCTGGAGCCTTGACCTGGGACATGCCAGTGGAATCACCTTGCTCTGAAGGAGCCTCTTCATCCTGGGCCCTGTGCCAACAACCTGTAAGGAGAGAGATCGAGGCAGCCTTGTCAGAAATGTGCATCAGACACACCCACCTGCAAGGCCCTGTGAAGGCTGACACCCCGGCCCAGAGCCCATGCACGGAAGGCCTGCTCTGCGGAGCTGAGTTTGGGAAGCTCACATGACAGAAGAGCCCAGGTGACGAATAAGGACATGAGGAAGGGGGGCAGGGTCTACAACTTCCTCCTCTGTAAATGGCTCTCAACCAGGCCTGGTTGCTGGTGACCAGTGAGCAATGAGTAGAAGGTTGTGTCCAGGCCCACAATATCTGAGTGCAACACAGGAGCCAGGGTATGAGGTGTGTTTAAGGACACATGCAGGTGCCACAACACTTTAAGTGTAAATCAAATGCTGAGAGCACTGCAGAGGGAGCCATGGGAGGGAAGGGGTAAGAACCAGGGCCAGAGGCTAAGAGTAGGAATATCAGCAGGAAAGAAAAGGTAGAAGTGAGGTGTGGCCTCCGTCTCTGTCACCACACACTGGTGACATAGGATGAGTGCCCAGTGATTGGAACCCAGCTCTGGTATCTCACTGCTTCCCAACTCCCACCTGCCAGGGCCACAGTCTCCTGATGTTGCAAACAACAGCCACCCTGTCGGGCGCCCGGGGCCCTGGTACTGCTCATGGTGAGCAACCACCTGGGCCTGAAGAGGCCAGTCTAAGGAGAAAGACAGGGCAAGGGAGTGGGACCCACCTTGTGAAGCCCCACATTCTAAAATCACAAGAACATCAAAGGAGGGTCTCTGAAGAAAGAACCCCGCGGTCCCCACAAGCAGTGACCAGGTCAGTGTCTGAATGTCCCGGCACAGGCAGGCACCAAAGTCTGTCAGCAAAAGGCAGGGGAAGCCTGGGACGCTGAGGTTCCATGCCTCTGGACAGGGTCACCCCACTGGGGACAAGCAGGGCTGGTGGGATCTTTTAGACAAACCCCAAGATTTCTGACCCTGAGCCCTGTCTTACAAAGTCTCAGGGCAGCAGGGACAGGGCTGCTTGGAGGGAAGGCGTGCAGTGCACCCAGCCCGGCCCTGGCACCAACCGCACACATGCAGGAAACCAGACAGGAAGCAAGGCCCCCGGTCTCAGCATGGGGAGGTCGGGGGTGCCCCCGGGAAAAGGAGAAGAACAGATCCCCACTCAGGACCCTGGTGGGGTGAGGGCCGTACCTACGGAGGACAAGAGTGCAATGTTCTGCAGCATCACATCCCGGTACAGGAGCCTCTGCGCCTCATCCAGGAGCCCCCACTCCTCCTGGGAGAAGTACACGGCCACATCCTCAAAGACCACACGGCCCTGTAGACATCAGGACAGGTCAGTCCACAAGCAGCTCCTTGGGCTGTACCCCTTCAGCCTGCTCTGTGTACTTGCCATCCATGAATTACAGGGCCAGATGAGCCGCCAAGTATGTTTATCTCTCCCCCATGATTCAGAGCCCGCTGTCTGAGCCACCCTCCCTCCACCCCACGCTCATGCACCAAGTCAGCCCAGAGCCAGGTACCAGACAGCAAGGGACGGCTCAGCTGGAAAACCCACCAGAATTAGTCAAACCAGTAAATCCTAAGCTCTTCATCTTACTCTCCACACTTTTTCCAGGGAAAATCCCAAAAAAGGCTCTGGGCTAGGTTTCCCCTTGCTCCTCCTTCTGACTCCTGAACAAATCTGGGGCTTCCCAACACAGCCCAAGGTGGCCTCATGTTCATTGTACACGTGGGAAATGTAAGTACTAAAAAGTTTTTTCAACAACATCGACCTCTCCGTGGCCTCACTTACTCGTTTACGTCCATAAGCTAAAATCTGGTGGGTATGATGGTTCGCACACTTACTCCTCAGGATCATCAATAATTTCCCCCACACGTGCCTACCCTCCTCACCCTCCTCCCAACTTCCCGTGTGGGACAGTTACCATGTCCTGGCAGCGCTGCTGCCGGCTCTCCCACGCCCACTGATTGCTGCATCCAGCACGCGGTACAAACCGGCAGAGGAGGCAGCAGAACAGCACCAGATAGGCCCTGGCCTGGCAGGGGGGCTCCACCTCCGGCTGTCAGGTAATTCCCCTCGGATCTCACCTCCCAGACACCCAGACCCAGTCTCTTCGCTCTACCTCCAGTGCGCAGTGTTACACCTGGGGGTGACCACGCACCTTCCTCACCTGTACAGCACTCTGGACTCATTTCCCTCATGACTCTGGTGACTCCACTGAAAGCCCCAGGCCCACCCCTTCGGACATACTGGTCTGCATGTGGAATTCAAGCAGCACATGACAAAGGCAACCAGCACCTCGATCAGCCCAGTCTTGCCCCAGAATGCCAAAGTGCCCTAGTGCCAGAGAGCACTCAGTCCTCATCAGAAGGTCTCCCCACTGGACCATTTCTTTTTCTTTCTTTTTTAAAAATTTTTTGGGGGTATGTTTATTCATTCATTCATTTTTAGAGGAGGTACTGGGGATTGAATCCAGGACCCTGTGCATGCTAAGCATATGCTCTATCTCACAGTGCTTGGCACTTGCTCATTTCTGCCCTACGCCCATATTGTCTCAAAAGTGGACTTGATTTCCTCTCTCCACCTAGCCTCATTCAAAGCTGCAGACTATCAACACTTCTAGCTAGTTTCCCCCTTAACTAACAGACCAGTCTGAATAAAACAATTCAGAGAAGGTCACCTCAAAACCTTCCTGAATCCATAGCAGGTTAATAAACCCTGCCCTGACCTCACTGACATCTGACTTTCTTCCTGGAGATAACTCAGCATCCATCTCACATCCATTGTCCCCTCAGAAGGCTTCATGACCCTACACTCCCCCAGTGAGGTACACCTACAGCCACTCTGGCTCCTCACTGTCATCTGTGACCCCCCCCCAACTCACATGCCCAAGTGAGATGCAGGTTTGGCCCCTCCTTCCCTACCCTGCCCCAAATGGTACCACTATCGTATCATAAAGAGGCCCTTCTGAAGTCTGACCCACAGCTTTATTGGGGTCCACACACTGGCCCCCATATTGTGGCTGTCTCCAACCTGAATGCCTCCACTTGACTCCAGACCCATGGATCCAACCTGCTGACTGCACATGTCCACTCAGAGTCTCTGGAACATTTGTGATGTGGCCAAAATTTGATTCCTGATATCCTCTGTGAAAATCCCTCCTACCGCTGACTTTCCACATCTTAACTGATGGAATATCCATTCGTTCTTCCCAGCGAGGCCAAAAGCCTCAGGACTGTCCTGACTCCGCCCTTGCAACTCATCTCTCCATCTCCTTCACTTTCTGTATCAGAAAATGCGTGCAGCTCTGTGCAGAACACGACCCAGAGCCAACCACTCACCGCCCTGCACAGCCACCACTCCTGTCCAGGGAGCATCGGTGCTCCCCTGCACGGAGGCAGTAACTTGCTCACAGGTCATCCTAACTTCTCCTTCACCCCTACAATCTATCCTCTACTCCACAGCCACAAGGAGCCTGTTACAATCAGGGCCAAATCACCTCCCTCCTCTGTTTCAAACCTTTCCTAGTTCCCACTGTCCTCAGGTTAGAGGCCCAGAACTAAGGCTGTCGTTCTAGGCCTGATCCCTGCACGCCTGACCTCCCACCCTGCTGGCCGGCCACCCTGCTCCCTGCTCCATCACACGTAACAGGAATCTGCCGGTTCCTAACTGGCCCTGTAAAGAGTCACCTGCAGGCACTAGAACCAGCATGCATGCCACATCTCACCCTGTCGGGTGTCAGAAATGGAGGGGGTGTGTGTGTATAGCTCAGTGGTAGAGCGCAAGCGTGAGGTTCTGGGTTCAATACTCACTGCTTCCAGTAAAAAAAAAAAAGAAGAAGAAGAAGAAGAGAAAAAAAAAGAGAAATGAAACTGATCCATACAAGACAGGACTGAGTTCAGGACCCCAGGCTCTTTGTGGAACCTCAGAGTCTTCAAGAAGGAGCACAGGTGCAGAGTCTCAGAAGGCCCCCACTCCACATACGGGGGTGCCTAAACCATCAGGGCGACCACTGGGGTGGCTGAGAAGCTGGGACACAATCTGTTCATCTGTGTAGGTCATTAGCACTTCTACCACCACTAGGGGACCCTGTGGGAAGAGGGAAGCCATAAGAAATGGGCAACCATGGTAAGATACTACAACCTGAGCTGGACCACCAACCCCACCTTGCCCTGGAGCAAAGGGATTTCAGCCTGATGGTCTAAATTGCTGACTCTTACTTGCTGTGTGACTGAAAGATGGACTCTCCCTGGGCCTCAGTGTCCACACCTGTAAAATGGGAATAAGAATGGTTTCAACTCACAGGGCTGATGCTGATAGCAAACATAAGTAGTGCACACTATGTGTCAAGAGTTCTGCCCACAGAGTCAATGGTTTTGTGTCTGTTTTCAGGACACAAGAACTGGGAGGGTTTTGAAATTTGGGCTGTATATTTTTACTGTTTTGAAGATTTTAAGAGGATGTGATATATAAAATTTTACATCATAAGCAAATACTTAAAGGCATATTAATATTCACACCAATTATTGTGTTTGGATAGATTTAACTAACTCAACATGTTAATTTCTATTGCCTGCCTATGTGTACGTATTTAGAGGGATACTAGTTTATTAATGTTTAAGTCAGTAACTGTTTCATGGGTGCTTAAGTTAATGAGTTGCAGGGAGGAACGGAGCAGGCAGGTCATCTACAAGTCCTTTCAAGCCTGCCTACAACATAATTCTCTGCAGGAGGAGCATGCAGAGAGCCCTTGGCCAGACAGAGGACTGTCCCTCTTGCTCTGAGGGCCGGAGGAGGCGAGGCAGTGCCCTGATCTGGGACTGAGCTGCTCCACCAACCCAGCTGACCTCTGCCTTGTGCTACAGACTGTGGTCTTGAGGGCCTGCTATGCCTTCAATGGGAAGAATCTACACCAACTCACAACTCAGCCTCCATCCCAGGTCAGCTCCTCACCCCATGTACATCTACCTTCCTACAAACACAAGCCAGAATTCATCTTGCAGCAGGACTGCTCCTCTCTGGAGGAGCGTCAGGGATGCATACCCACGTGCCCCACCCTCCGGGCTCAGGCTTCCCACACCTCACCACAGAGCCCATCTGAAATAACAACCTGAAGACTCCCTTTCTTCAATCAGACCTCTAGGCTAAGACCTGGTCCAGTCCACTACCTGCACCCTATTGAAAGCTCCAGACCTGAGACCTTCCCAGGTCTCCAGACCATTACGTCCACCTACCCATGAAATGTCTCCAACTTCTGACATCTCCAACTTGAGACATCTCAGAATAACTATGTCCAAACACAACTCATGATCTTCTCTCTGAATCCTGTTCACTGCACTGATTCCTCATCTCCACTCCTTCAATGTTCAAGTAAAAACAATTGGGATGCTCTTTCATTCCTTACTTTTGCTCACAGCTGTATCTGATGCAGCAGGAAATCCTGTCAATTCTATTTTTACGATCGATCCAAACTCTTGTCATGTCTCTCCTCTACTGCTGCTACTCTGGTCCAGCCCCTACCAGAATCCTCCTGGAGTCTGTTGCCATGTTCTCCAAACCAGTCTCCCTGCCACAATATCCCATCCACTTTTTAACAACTTTAAACTTCAAATCTGGATATACCCCTAAATTAGGTTCCTGGACCCAATTCCAACACGTGTGTGCAACGGAGGGTGGGGAAGAGGAGGGGGTGGTTCCCACACAACACCAAGCAATCTTCAGACAGGAGCAGGGTGCTGAAGAATTAAACTCAATTCTGACACTACCTACCGGGAACTAGCATCAGATTCCATAGAATAAAGGTTCAGTCCTACACAACTGTTCCCCCTCCAGCACTTTAGATCTCAGTCTCAAGCCCAGGTCCTTACACCTGCTTCTGACTGGCAGCCTATATCAGACAATCCCAAGCCCCTCTCCTTGGGTTCAAATAAACTGCTAGAGTGGATCACAGACCTGAAAAGTACAGTTTACTTACCAGATTACTAGTTTATTATAAAAAGGCATACACACACGTAACTTAAGGGGGAGGGTGTAGCTCAGTGGTACAGCACAGGCTTAGCATGCATGAAGTCCTGGGTTCAATCCCCAGTACCTCTATTAAAAACAAACAAACAAAAAGGCATAACTCAAGAACAGCCAGACAGAAGAGGTGCACAGGAGCTTCCATGCTCTCTGAGTGTGTCGCCCTTCCAGCGCCTCCATGTCTTCACCAACCTGGAAGCTCTCTGAACCCTGTCCTTTTGGGTTTTTACAGTGGCTCGATTACACAGATATGACTGATTCAATACTTGGCTATTAGGGCCAGGTTCCACGTCCAACCACTCTTCCCTTCTTGAAAGGTGGGAGGCGGGTGCGGGGACTGACAGTGCCAACCCTCTAATCATAA